CTTCTTGTACCTGTCTGTGTCCCAAGTATCAAACATAGTCATTGATCTAGAGTTGGTAATAATAAATATATGCTAATTCTGGGTCTATGTGTGGGGCCGTTACAGTATAGTATTATGATCAATAAACCTCTTATAGGTAAATGAATGATAGTATGTTTACATCAAGAACATAAGTTTAAGGACCAGCAATTGGTGTAATGGCTATGTTTCTGGACTCCCTTGTAGTCAACCACCATTCGAGTCCCAGACCTGGTGACTGAAACTCATGCTGGGCACATGTGCGTGTGTGCCCAAGATCCCTAGAGGAGAATGGAGGAGAAGGGATTGTGGCGTGGCCATCCCCCCTGGGGGGGGGGGGGTGATTTCTTGCTTTCTGTCTCCCAGTTTCTCTCTGTCTTTCTGGCAAGCACACGTGCCCTAATAGCAAAAACCTCTCAAAACAAACAAACAAACAAAAACTCATGTGTTTACATACATGGAAAAGCCTCTGTGTGAAAAACAAAGGGTTCTTAATCATTTATTGACAGGTTTTTTTTGAGATATCTAGTCCACATGCGTTTAAGCTCACTGCAGTTTTTGGATACATGGGGTCAGCATCAAAGAGTTTTCTGATCTAACTTCACCTGCTGTTGGAATATCTAGACATTCTTCTATTTGATTTCTTTCTGCATATTTTTCATGGTTATTTTTTGACTCCTTTCTTTGGCATTTTTTTCAGTATCTCATATTTCTTTCACCTCAGTAAGCATGCTTGTTTCATGAAAGATATATTTATGTCTGATTTCACATGTTTCCTTGGCCTCTGATCTTACGGTAGTCGACTGTCCTGTGTCTTGTCCCTTGATTTTCGATTTTATGAATCCACATTCCCTTGACTTTTTTACTTATGGGATTTCTCTGAGGCTTGGTTTCAAAGTGCATTTTTTCCAGAGAGGATTTTTATTTGCTTCTATCTAGTGCCTAGGCTGATTTTAAATTGCATTTGAGGTTTTTCTGAATTGCATAGATAGTGTGAATTGCGGCTCTACTGGCATGTAAGTTCAGGCTCCAGATTAGAATTTCTCTCTCTCTCTCTCTCTCTCTCTCTTTCTCTTTCTCCATTCACCCAGGCCCAGATTCTATCATGCACAAATTTCTCCATGACCTCCCTCTATAGCTTCTTGTTATACCCCTGATGACGCCAATATTTGGAAATTCCAAATTCACATGATGTCTTTGACCTAATCCCAACTTGCGTTGGCCCAAGTTTTATCCCAACCTCTGTGTCCCTGAGCACCTACCCTAATCTTTTAGCTAAACCTAATGTGAAACCCTCGTCAGATTGGTAAGGCTAACATGAGGCAAGGGGGGAGGGAGAGCTGACCCAGTTGCATTTGTTTTCTCTTTGATTTTGGCCTCTGGAGAATTTCCCTCTCTTGGTTTCAGTAAGTGTATAGCTTGGAAAATAATATTAAAATACTTCATTTTGCATGTAGGGGAAATTGGAGATCTCAACACATGTAGCCCTTTGGAAACAATAAGCTCTCCTTTGCTTGCTGTGTGGAAGGCACTGGAAGACATGGCCATTTTATTGAGTCAGGAAAATGGGACATATTCCACTACCCTGACTCCTTATCTAGATCTCCTGGGGCAGGCATTTTCTACTTTTTAAAAATTGTTCTTTTCTTGCTAGAGGGTATATGTGCTCACCAGAGAAAGAGAGAGAGAGAGCACCTGCCATGGGGACATGGGGAATGGTCACACGGCAATCCCTTCTCCTCTGTCTCCCTCCTTTAGGGATTTTGGTCACACACCCACACATGCCCATCATGCACCCTTGCCCAGCGTGTTTCTCAAGCCACTGGCTCAGGACTCCAACTACCTGGTCTGCCATGTGGGATCCTGTTACCGTAACCACAATGCTATGGAGCATTCTTATCTATAATAAAGCAATATTGAGCCATCTGATCTTTATGGATTCTCCCAGCTCTATTTTTTTTTTGTCCCCGTGACTTCTGAACCACTACAATATTTTTTTCTATTTATATGCTTGCAGCGTTTGAGCTGAAGTCCAAGCCCAGTTACCTCTCTCTGTCTTTCAGTGTTTTTCCAGTTTATATTTCTTTCTTACTGTGAGTCCTGCAGAGAGCACCCAGAATAAAGGCACTCTGTGTTCCCCCACAGGTCGCTTCTCTTGGAGTCACCACCTTTACCTTATGCGCTCTGTGCATTGACCGCTTCCGCGCTGCCACCAACGTGCAGATGTACTATGAAATGATTGAAAACTGCTCTTCAACCACGGCCAAACTTGCTGTTATATGGGTCGGCGCCCTGCTGTTGGCACTTCCAGAAGTGGTCCTCCGGCAGCTGAGCAGGGAGGACTTGGGGTTTAGCGGCCGAGCCCCAGCAGAAAGATGTGTTATAAAGATCTCGCCTGATCTACCGGACACCATCTACGTTCTGGCCCTCACCTACGACAGTGCCAGGCTCTGGTGGTACTTCGGCTGTTACTTTTGTTTGCCCACACTGTTCACCATCACCTGCTCTTTAGTGACTGCCAGGAAAATCCGCAAAGCAGAGAAAGCCTGTACCCGGGGAAATAAGAGGCAAATTCAACTAGAAAGCCAGATGAACTGTACAGTAGTGGCATTGACCATCTTATATGGATTTTGCATTATTCCCGAGAATATCTGCAACATTGTCACTGCCTACATGTCGACAGGGGTTTCCCAGCAGACAATGGACCTCCTTAATATCATCAGCCAATTCCTTTTGTTCTTTAAGTCCTGTGTCACCCCAGTGCTCCTTTTCTGTCTCTGCAAACCCTTCAGTAGGGCCTTTATGGAGTGCTGCTGCTGTTGCTGTGAGGAATGCATTCAGAAGTCTTCGACGGTGACCAGCGATGACAATGACAATGAATACACCACAGAGCTCGAACTCTCACCTTTCAGTACCATACGCCGAGAAATGTCCACTTTTGCTTCTGTTGGAACTCACTGCTGAAGACCGTCCTTGGTTTGGTCAGGATTGTTTGCTTGATTTTCATATTCTGTGGAAGTTTTTACTTCATATTGTTCCCAAGAGGGAAAAAAGATGCAAAAAAATAAAAATGAAAAACAACAAAGAAAGAAATGTTAACTCCTATAGAACTGATTTTACAAATTAATATTTGTGCTTTGAACACATGTTTATATTTAGATATTTAAGAAGAATGAGAAGGCCAATAGTTTGAGATCAGTTTATCTAGTATGGTGCTAATATTTGATTTGGAAAAAGTTACTGCACCTTAACTTAATTAATTGCTGAATTTCTTTCTTTCCTTTTAAAATATAATTGTTGTATATTGATTATAGCCATGTGACTTTTGTAGGTTGTTTTATGTTTGAGTTGTGACTGAAAGTACATTGTATATGGTATTGTGAGATGATTTGTACTGAAGCATCACAAAGTAGCACCAAATAAATTATGCTTTATTCTTTAATGTCATTGTCTACTTTTAACTAAGATTTAATAAATCTTTTAATTGCCTTAAAGACACAATTACTGGTTCTATGCACAATTTAAAGTCAGCCTTACTGTTTTATAATTATATTTTCTTTGAAAGCAGGTAATCACTATGTTATAAAGACATTTTCCTAATAGCACTATTTTATATGCATGATTCATAAAATGATATTGTATGTTAAAACAAAACTGTATTTTTAATACTAAGACATAGATGTAATACTACTTCTGAATATTTATAACTTATGAATAAATAGACAGCAGAGTAGGAAGAAAGTTTCTTTTCTTTTTCAAGTTCACCTCTGAACTAGCATGTAGATCTACAAGTTTTCCCAAGAGGAATTACAAGCAGAATCAAGAATTTAAAAAAAGTGCTTGTCATCTGATTTTCTCTGAACACACTGGCCTTTGAAGCTTTGTGAATCCTACATGAAGCACTCTGAATTTAATTTTTCTCCTTTAAAAAAATGAACTTGATTAAATCTGTATGAATTTATTTCTTTAAGTGAATGAAAGTATGATTTGAAATAATAAAATACTTTTATATCTTGATTAGACATTTGAATATTCAAATACTACCTTTAAATCGATACTTTATAAGCTCCCAGTAAAAACCTAACCCATTCCTTTTGGATTATTTGAATCCTCTCTCGTGCCTCTGCAGGAGCTCAAGTTGCAGCAGTTGTGTAAAATGCCAGCATTGTGGAATACATGTCTAAATCAGATAGCAGAGACAGTGACCTAGTGACACAGTGACATTTAAAAACTACTGGAGGAAATGTGTAGGTGAATGTCGCTATCTTCAGAAAAATCATATTATAGGGAATCTACTTTTCTGTCTTGGAAAATATGTTTTCCGTTTGGCAATTTCTGTACTATTTAGCATAATGAAGTTGGGACCTTCTTTCTTCCAGATTATAATATGATGTTATTTAACATCATTAAACTCCAGTGGTAGAAAAATTAAAAAGATTTTATCTAAACCATTCATCTTCCAGATAAAATCCAGATGAACTATTTAAATGACAGTGTTCAGACTATCGCCTTTTTTCCCCCAGTCCAGTACTCATCAAAGGGATTATCTTCCCATTGTCTATTCTAAAGGATTTAAGGGAAAATAAAAACAAGGTATGATTTTCTTTTTACAGATTCCTGTGGAATACAGATCCCTGTAGAAAACAGATCCTTGTAAGAAAGAAGTTTTCTTTGGAACTTTTCAGGAAGACACCTGAGCTTTGTTTTGACTGATGAGCCGACCAGCAACTATAGTTTCTGGCCCTGATGAGGTAGTTCAGGTCAAGAGAAACCTCTGTACAATACTAGGGCCACATGCGAGGCCTGCGTTTGGATCCCAGGTTGACTGGAAAATGCACGCGTCTGGACATACTTGTGATCCTGGATGGCTGGCCAACTCGAGGGAGGATCACCGCCTGGGGAGGCTTGGCTAAGGTTGTCTGCTTGTCTGTTTTTCTTATAAAAGAAAGAAATAAAATAATATTTTTAAAAAGGTGTAATTCCACATCATCTCTTGTGATATTTAATCAATTTATAAGTCAAGAAACATTCATCGAGCACGTTATGTAGAAAAGGCTCTATGCTGTTACGTGCAGAAATAAAGACAGAGGATAGTGTCAGAACTTACAAGAGCAAGCAAGGGTGGGACGGGCAGGAAGGAATAAGACACATATACAAACGGCTGTATTGTGAGCTATGATACAACCCGTGTGGTGTTGGAAGGAAAATGCTAGGATAGTTCAGAGACAGAACATGTCAGATTGCAGGAGAGCATGAAAGGCTTTATGAGATACCAGATGAGTTTTCCAAAGGAAGTGATGACAGGTAGTAGGAGGAGTAGACCTCTGGGGGGAATTTAACAAAGGAATAGAGGAATGAATCATTGGCTTGGATTTTAGGGGATTTTGAGTATTGTTGAAACCTCGTCACAACTTTGTCATTACTGCAATTAATTTGGAAATAGTGTAAATAGGCATATCAAAGAGAGATTGAATATAGAAAACCAATAAGGAAGCTACCATGAGGGATGGAACTACAATGAATATGGCAGGAATTTACATTAACCCTTTTCTTAATTCTTTTATACTTGCTTTTAACTCTTAGTAGTTGAAACATGTGCCTTCTTACTGAATCATACCTCTGACAAAGAGAACTTTTGATAACTCATAATAAGCTATCCCAACTACAAAATGATTTGGAAGTTTGTTCAGTCTTGTTTTCCACAAAAATCAATTTTTATTATAAACATGTTAAACATCAATAACCATTTTTGTTCAGCCTCTCTCCTATCTAGATCCTATCCAGCATATTCACCTTCTCATTTAAAACAAGAAACACACATCTGAGATTAAGTCCTATAAAATTTTGATTGATCTGAAAACTCTAGAAATGGTGTTTGGGTCAATTAACCAGAATAGGTTTGTGGTTTCAGGATAGCCAATGAAAATCCTTTCAAAATATAGATATGTCTGTATCCATAAGTGGATAGCATAATGAACTCAATGTACACAGTTCTGATGTCTTCAAACCTATGACTTCAAGTGTCAAGTTTGCATTCCACTCACTGTTAACACTTCTGCACAGTGCTAGACTGGGCTGGTAAAACTCAACTCATCATTAATTTTTTCTTAACCTTAAGAATCCTGCCCATAGGTAGTTTACTCTTTGAAAGTCAGACACTTATGTAAACAAGTAAAATGTAGTGTGAAAAATAGGTGTAATGTGGGTCTTACTTTCAAAGAGGGAACTACCAACCGGATTGGTCTGAGAAGCATTTCACTATTGGCAGGATTCTTAAGTTTAAGAAAAGGTGATAAAAACGATAGAGTAATTGTGGGAAGGTGAATGTGAAATGAGTCCCTTGGGGGTTAGTGGTTGGAAGGAAAGGAGGTAAGAATGAAGCCTTTACAAAGGAAAAAGAACAAATGCTTGCTTTTCCATTTTACATATGTACATCATTTACTGGATCCAGTGGAATTTGTATTTATTCAATATGAAATGCTGGTGTTCATGTTAAAAAAATATATCCCAAATAATTCTTTTTTCTTATTTGCTTATTTATCATAAAGTGGAATTAAAATAAATGGTAAATTTCTTTAACAATTATGGTGAAACCGAGAAAAAATATAGAACCCTTTTTTTTCAATTAGTGAAGACAAAGAAATCCTTTTTCTTAAAAAAAAAAAGAAATTATTTTATTTTACTTTATTTATTCATTTTAACTTGACCAGAGAGGGACAGAGTGAAAGAGAGAGGGGGAACATGAGAAAGCAATCCGGCAGGTCCATTTTCAGGACTTGAACTATGGTTGGCCATGTGGAAGTCCAGCACCCTCAACAACCATGTCAACCTGCTGGCCCCAAGAAACCCTATTATAATCTTTAGATTATTTTATTAACAGAAAATCAGTACTTTTAAAAAGACTTGTTCCTGGTGTCGATTCTATAGTACCAGGGCGGAAGGAGAGCTCCACTTGTCAGATGTGTTCTTAGTTGTTGTTTTAGTACTTTTATATCAGTATGGATACAGCATTGATACAGTATTCTTGATATTAATGCCAAATTCCCTGGAAAACATTATATATCACATTACCTGTGATAATCTAGTTAATAAGCAATGCTATACACCTGAATTAAAGAGGTAAAATTTATATTTGAATTTAAAAAATTATGGTGAAGTTGATGTTAGTATGTTATAAAAAGTATCCAAGTGATACCGAGTACAGAGACTGGTTAAGTCACAATCACTACATGTCAGCTCATTTATTCAACAAATATTTAAGAAGTACTGCTATATGTTAATCATTGTTGTAGGTATGTGTGGTACAGCTGTAAACATATCCATATGAAGCCCTGTTCTTTTTTGTTAAAAAAGATAGACACTATACAAAATAGGTAAATAAGGAGAATACCTAGTATCTTCAACAGTGAAAAGTAACATGGAGAGAAAGGGTTCCAGGGCAAGATGGAGTTATGAAGACGATCTCATTGCAAAAGTAAGCCTTGAAGCTAGCAAGCAACTCATACAGCTATGTGGGGGAAGAGCAGAGAGAGCACACAGTGCAAGTTCTGAGGCAGGAACACGGATGTTACCTTTCAGGAATGTAAAATGGCTACTGTGATGGAAAAAGTTCAGGGAAGGAGAAGTAGCTGATGAAATCAGAGACCTAACCTCCAGCAATTGTAATAACTTTACTTTATGTTCAGTCTAAGACACCATTGGATGGTTTTGGAAAGAG